ACGCCCAGCCGCCATCTTGAAATTTTGAACAGCTGAGATTTTCAACTGTCATGTTGACGCGATCAAGTTCATTGCCACGAATTTCAGCTGGTCAACTTGACCCGTTCACGTTGATACATTGATCAAAATTATTCTTATACTCGGCGTTAGAGGTATACAATCATTTTTACGATAAAATTGTCAAATTGCAAGAATAGGGTAAACTGTACCCTCCGTATCCAAACTGGAGATTACTAAGTTCCGATAGCGACGTCTTTGTATATCTTGCCTGGGCACGATTTTGTACATTTAACTCTTCTGTACCACTGTACCTAATTTATACGGGACATTTTCAAAATCTTGTACTTTGATGATTTAGGGAAGTTAATTTCCCTTTCAATCAAAAATTGTTGTTTTTAATTAACTTTCCCACAGAGAATACTTTTCCCAGATCAAATCATCTGAAAGAGGAGCACAATATTGCTACTGCCAATTATTGTTCTAAGTACGGATCAGAGATAAAATGCTTATCACAGTAGTTTGAGACTAGATTCAAGGACCTTGACAGGAAAAAAATATACAAATTCTTGTGAATCCTATTACAATCAGTTTGAAATAGAAACTTATCCTACCAATATGGAACTTGCTGAGATGCAAAAGTACTATGTGCTAAGTTATCTTCTTGCCGAAAAAATCTATTCGAAACAAAAAAATTCTTAAGAAGAGTTTGTAGATTTCTGGAAATTGGTACCAGAAGAAGTCTTTCTGGCAATAACTGGCTTAGCGTTCCAGTTCTTAAGTAGTTTCGAAACAACATGGATAAATTTGTGAAAAAGTTTTGAGCGACATACTTGTGGCGTGTTACTGTCAACATTGGATTTGATGCCTAACTTTAAAAAATTATTGATTGTATCCTTACCTTACCTTACCATAATACGCTCTTTGATTTATTATTTCACATAGCAATAGGGTGTCAGGATGATATGGTGAACAAAAAAATGAGCCATGTAAACCACATGAAAATGTATATTTAAACAAAATAAAGTCACTTACTTTACACAAAATATGTTGGCAACAACTTAACAGTATCATATCTTCTTTAAAGTAAAAAAAACAATAATTATTTTTAATAAATTCAGTGGTAGACGGTTTCCGTTTTTTGAGTTGATTGATTTTAGTATTTCGTTTGGTGATATTTCTGGTTGCGGTTCTTTCTTTGGCTTTCCTTTTCGCATTTGTTTCACTTTTCACTAACTCAGTTGTTTTGCTTTGTCGTTTTCTGTTTCGTAGGTTGACCATGTTAGATGAGGAATTCGAAACCTCTGCTAAAACTCTGGATTTCTTATTTACAGATGTAATTATTATCTAATTTAGGTACCGGCGAAATTTGCTCCAAAACTTTGCCAGGGGTTATTTGCGGCTTTTCTGTTGTCACTCTTTAAGCGAGAGCTCACGCTTCTGATGATAAATCCATGTTTTTCTGTGGCTTTTTCGTGCATTGCGAACAGCCAAGTTGTGGAGAGGCATAGAATTAGGTTAAAAATTCAAGCACTGGAAAAAACAAGTTCTAATTTAAAGAAATATTTTACACGTAAGAAAAAGTCTTCTCCGAATCAAAATAAAAATTAATGAGCACCAAAAACAATTTTTAAAAAATAACTTATGATTTTTAAAACAATATTTGTTTTCATCAGGTGCACGCAGCCCTTTGGATAATAAACTTCAGACTTACAGCAACATCTGTGTTCCCGGTGAAGAACTAGAGCAATTCACCATTTCACCCGATTCACCATATCACCCTGAGTTACCCTAATTAAACAATTGTATTTTTTTCACACAGGTCCAAGAGTAACGGACCACTGAAAATGCTTGGCCCGATTGTTATAAAGTTGAGCAGCCTTGGTTTAAAATGTCTAGATTTACTAGTTACTTTACTCGAATGCACAAAGCTGTACGTAAAACCTGCAAAATTTTCATTCATCGACATATCTTAGTCAATTCTGTGTGCACGGGATCTCGGACTAGTACAAAAAAGCGCATTTTTCACCGGGCGTATTACCTCCGTTTTCGAGAACAGGGAATTGCCGTCGCGGAACAGATGTTTGGTCATTTTGAATGTTCTTAGGATCGCCGAGTAGTCGTCGGTTCCTTCATTCCTCGAGTTTACAACGGTTTAAGGCTAGTATTTTTTATCGCAGATTTAAATCTGCAGGCTTGTTCAGATTCCGTCGTTGATACGTCCACTCCAAAAGGGGTCATTGGAAATTGTCGGGCATATGCGCTTCACGAATTCTGTGTAATTCAGTTACATTGAAACGGTTTTCTTAATTGTTTTGAACGTTTTTACCACAATTGTTGCTGCATTCTTCTGATAACCGAAATTTTAGATGTAACCTTTTCCTTCCCAAATCGCAGCTAAAAATTTCTTGTTTTTTTTGTAATTTCAAAATTGCTTGCACTTGTCAAATTTAAATGCATCACGTATTTGTTGTTACACTTTATTGACAGGAATGGTGAAAAAGTAGCAAAATTTTAAGTGGTGATAGAAGACCCGATTTGGAACACGTTAAGCAATATATACCTTAGTACAAGGTCCGAACATTTTTATGAAATTCCAGGAGAATGCCAAAAGCATGTAATAACTCATCCCCTGTTCAACCAGGAGGAGCAACTTCTTTATTCAGTTATCTTTATCAACTACTCTGAGGTATGCTTTCCCTACATAAATAGTTTTTGTATTAAACAAACATCGCGTGTACGTTATAAAAAGTAATTTTGATTTACCGAAGTGTTCCATGTCGTAGTATCTTGTGAGTTGTCGACTGTGCAAATTAAAATTATTGAAAAAAACGTCCTCCTCAATTATAAGAATCATCGTTCCATGTCCAAATATTTGTCTTGAACCCCCATAAGCCCCATTGTATCTATGTTTTCATTTTAAATAAGTAGATCATTATAAAAAATGCCAAAATCAGATGGCATGAAATTGGAAGGGCAGATTCCTTTATTCAGTTTTTGTATTGTAATATATGAAAAATAACTAGGAAGTCGGTTCTACCGGTCAGTATTCAGCCCGATTTCGTTACTGCTAAGCGCGTTGAATGTGGTTATGTATCCGACGATTTGCGAAAAAATATACCTGTGGTTGTAGCGCTAATCCTTCCTACATAAGAAACATTTGTAATTATTTTAGAGGCTTCTTTTGTACACATCATACAATTGATAAATGAGAAAAGTGCGTTCAAGTTTCCCGTGGTTCATAGGTATGTTTCAACGTTTGCTAATAAAGTGATTAAGGAACAGCAGTGTTATAAAAACCACGTAGCTTGTATTTGGTAAAAATAATTTACGACGTTCTACCGTTCCAGCAGCTTACAAATACAGCACAGTATTCGCGGTGCTAATAGCAATCCACCTACCGTTCGAAATCAATAAATAAACCGGCCAATGCATTTTTAATAAAGGCGGAGTGTTATTAATATAATAGGCACGACCACCAACGTCGCCTCCCGGGACTGCCCAGGCTGTTGCACATAACCTTTCTCTCTATTAGGTCAATCTAAGTGGAACATTGTCAACATATCTATTTGTCTGTAGTATGTTGCCGCTAATATTACAAAGCTTCAGCGTCGGGGTGTCAAAATTAGCGTAAATAGCAACGTTGGCTCTGTGCCTATCCGATGACGCAAAGCTGGCAACTGTCAGCCACGCTGCCAGCTAGGCAGTACCGTTCTTGTGCTGAGAGTATTTATTCGCAAAAGGGGTGCTGCGAAATATCGTTGGCATTCCTATCAGGAAAGTATTTCGACTTTGCCGTCTGTTTATATGAATGAAGCTATTTTGCAAGTAAAAGCAGGGGATGCAGAATTTTATGAAGAACTCTTATATATATATATATATATGTGAAGTGGATGTAAGAGGTTAAAAACTGTATTCCGATTTGGTCCCCAAAATTGCTTCTCGTTATTTAAAAAATAAAATTTAATATGTTTGGGTGTATTGATTTATAGTGTTAAGAAATCAATAAGCTCAATGTGTCCGTCCGATTGGTTTTATATTTGTAACAAGTGCTCTCATCTCCGCGACCGTTTTGAAACACAATTTGGCTGCAACCTCAACGACCAGTAAGTTGTTTGACAATTTAAGTCGTTCCTGTATTGGTTGCTATCATAATTGTGTTTTCAGATCCTGATGAAGGCTCCATAGAGAATTGCCGAAAGCTTGATACTATCGTCAAAAGAGTTAACTAAAGCCTAAAAAAAAGTTTGCCTATTTCCCAATTAACAATTAATTGTATTTTGTTGCCCAACTCGTCGTTGGCAATAGCAATGACTACTGCTCACGTATATATATATATATATATATATATATATATATAACCTGAGACGTGGTCATTGTCGTCTAGACCAGCTGGTGAAAAATTAAAGCTTCCGCCTGTTGTTGGGTACTTCGACAAAATTTAAGCAAGGAGGACTCTTTATACCTTTTTATTCTCTCTAGCTTTCAATGGTCTTTGCCATCATTATCAGGAGCTGCAATTACATTGATAACAGTAGCAACAATGAATTTAAATTAACTTACAGTAGTATGTGAGGATGTTGCTAATTGCTGTTAAGGATGAGAGGGAAACACCCAGTAACATGGTGAAAGCTGGATAAATAGTACAAAGGTACAATGTAGTTTGTATAATTTTTTATATATATATATACATATAGGTGAAAAATTAAAGCTTCCGCCTTCGACGAAGTACCCAACAAAAGGCGGAAGCTTTAATTTTTCACCTAACTGGTCTAGACGATAATGACCACGTCTCAAGTTATATACATATATATATTGATGGAACAAGTAATGAACATGCGTCTGATGTTACGAATTCTAGCTTGTTTATAAGATCGAAGTGCTAATTATGTGGCAATAAAATTATACAACAAATTAAGCAAAGCCACTAGAGGTACTGACAAGAGTACTGTAACTTTTTGCGGATAAAGTCTGTTGTAATTCTTAGATCAATCATATACCTTTTAACGCGTTTTCATAACGCAAGGTGTTGCGTCTTGTACTTTTGTGATGATTATGAAGTTTGTGTGCTGTTGTCCTTTCGTATCTTGAACAATAGAATTGTTTACTTATTTATTAGCACTGCCATGCCTGCGCGTAAGTAAGCCTACGTACCGTGGCGCTATCAACAAGTTATGCCTATAACAATGAACTGTGACCAGCTGGTTTAGGTGTCAGCGTCGCTACCTCTCAGACTATTCTCGCAAGTTATAGGCTTCCGTTACCTTGGAAGGTTGAAATCCTGCTTTAGCATAAATGTTTTTTAAAGAATACCTTTTTATCACTTCTAGCGCAACTCCTGCCACACTGCTTGGCAACATATTTGTAATGATGAAAATTGTAGTGCAGAATATGGTTGGGCATCTTCGTGGTACTGCTTCGTTGCTATTCCCATTTCTCTGACTTTTGTTCCAAATAGGACTCGAACACGCAGGTAGCGACAAAGCGTTCATTCTTGACTATTTAGTCATGTATTACATCAATATGATAAATAAGTGAAACAGTAATGAAAAACTAGGCTATTTCTGAAGAAAATACCTACATAGCGACGAAGCGCTATTTTTCGTAACGGATTCACATAATCAATTTATGGGAGACACAGGGAGCTCGTTATAGGCCTGTTTAGCATAATTAGAGATCGTTAAGTGTCGCTTTTTGCTAAATACCTTCGGCGATGAGACAACTTCCGCGTAAGTGCTCCAAAGGCGCTGCTGCTGTACGATCGCCTTTTGTATTCTGATTTTTATGGTATGCACGGGCTACTGCCATAGGCGATTTCGCAGCCTGGTAGCTGATGGTGCATAGATGGTTCTTTGCGCATAGCAGGTCGTAAGTAATTATCTTCTACAAAGTGTCAAAGAAACTTCTTTTCGTTTCGTACATTTCTTGTTCGCGCCTTGCATAGTAATTTATTAATTTTAAAGCAGGCTTTCGGTCTCATTCTCTAGTACCACATGCATTTTCTTCTTATTACTTCCCAGCCATTTTTTGAACTAGTATGGCAAAAAAATGTAGAATGAATTAGCATTACTTGAATTTCCCGAACAAGATGTCCTAGTAGCAAGACTAAACTCCTTATTCTAGTACACCCAAGTACCTCGTCATAACTTTAAGTTCCAATAAAACGCGTTGATAACACGAAAATGAAGAAGCAAGATGTATTTTTCAAGAAAGTGTAAGTGAAAATTACCATCAGGATATGGGAACCAGCCTAGACGTATGAACTGCAGCTTTGGAGATACAGTGGCGGATTTAGTAGCTGATTATAGCAGGGGACACAGCGCTGGTCCCATTCATGTTCAGGAAGTTCTTTGGCTCAGAATGGGGGGTTTGTAGATTTAAATTTGCTCCAAAATAGATATATGTCAATATACGAGATCCTGAAGCATCTACTGATTCCTAGGAGCTATGTAAAGCATCAATAATCTTCAAATCTCCTTAATTATTGTGATGAAGGGAATACTTAATAAGACAACGCTTTTCAAAGAGCGTAACCACGTTTGTAACATAAGTAAAAGAAATGTTTCGTATGGATACAAAAAAAGGCTACAACAAAGCAGTGACCTTAGAGCATAGAAACAGAAGCAAGTAATAACAGGAATGTCGAATAACAATAGATTTAGGGTAAAAATAAAAAAGGGTTTAAATTCCAAATAGCAAGTTCTAATACCAAAAGAAGTACCTCGGGTATTTGACAAAACGGACCATTGCGCTATTTTAAGAAAGTTGTTCTTGTTTGGATTTCATGGGCATTTTTTTGACTTATGCAGCCTTTAAATAAATTTCAATATGTTTATTATAATGGTTTTAAAGTACTTGGCTTCCTCTGGTGTTCCTCAAGGATACAATTCTCTTTGTTGTTATCTGCTTTCATTAACGATATCTATCTTAGCTTACTTGTAATCATTTGTTTTATTATGATGATTTGAAAATCTTACTAAATGATAACAGCCTCCAAGAATGCAGCCAAATCTAAACATTTTAAAAAGTGAGTGGTGCGATTTGAATAAGGCGAGATTAAATGTTTACAGATGTAACGTGTTGTCATTGAATGGAAATAAAAATCCAATCCGTTTTGGATACAAAATCAATAGACAAAAAAATGTCTAGTCAAGGACCTTGGTGTATCAGTTTCAAGGAGCAAATTCAGCAAAAATGGAATGCAGCTGCAAGAATGTATGCATTCATAGTAAGAAATTGCAAATTATTCACCAGTGTTGAAGCTTTGAAAACACTATCCCTAGTTTGCGTCATTGGGTCTAGGCTAGAATACTGTTCAAGTGTTTGGAAGCCTTATTACATATACGAAAGGAGAAACTGGAGAGGATGCAACGTCGTATCCTGAAATATGTCTATCCTGAGAGTCCGTCACAACTCTTCACAAGGCCCTTCATAGCTCCGATGTACGATTTCTAATTGACTTTTGTTTCCCAGTTACTTTGCACTTACATATATGCATTTTCCAGATTGATGAGGTGGAATACCAACTTAGGGATCAATTCGCGATTGCATGAAGCTGTCAAAAATTTCAATGCTGTAGCTAATAACGAAATACATGCTCATTCTTTAAGTTCTATTTTCACCTCTCTCGCAGAGGCTTATTGTTATACGTCTTGACATACGTATTACGTTGATTTGTGCTTTTGCATATATTGCCATTTCATTTGCTTACGTTTTCTGTTCTTCTTCACGTTTGCTTATTGGAAATTCTAGCAATTTCTCTTTACTTTTTTCCTTCCGGTATTTATATTATATTTTCTTCTTTATTCTTCAATTTTCCCTGTCATCGGAACTATAATTTTTTAGGAAACATTTTTCAATGTAGACACAATAACAATCCAAGCTTTCAAGAAACAAGTAATCGCTTCGATGACCATTGATCAGACAAAATTCGTCAAAAAGCTGCACCGGACTCCAAGATCGTGATTTGCGCCTATTTGCATTCAAAACGGTGATGATTACGGCAGTTTAACTATGGCGGCATCTATAAATCATGCGAAAATCAAGTCTGCCGCGGAAAGTTCGCGCTTCACGAGACCTGTTATTGAATACGCGCTGAAAATTGGTGTTGTTATGGTGATAATGGATCTCGAGCCATGGAATTACTCTTATATTTCTTTGCCAGCACGATATTCTGATCTTTATCCTTAATCCTAGCATTTCATTACCAATGTATAAGGGCAATAGGGACAGCCTACGATTGATATCGGACGTTTTGTATATTTTTGGAAAGCCAATAAAATTAGTTTCTTGCGTTATTGTAGCTCATGACACTGCCACTATAATAAAAAAAATACTATATTGAAAACATTTTATTACAGTGACATATTATATTTTGTTAGACATCACCAGAGTTAAGAAATTAGATAATCTTAACATCTAGGGTGTTCTCAAAGTTAGGACAAAGTATTCATATCACTGAGTTTCGAGTCTCTGATATCCAGTTTCCAGTATCTACCCGCCCCAAAGATAAACTAAGTTCATTGTGTTTACAAATCCGAATTGAAGAAAGAATTTAAAATGGCACATTAGTGTAGCAACAACGAGCTTCTCGATATTACGTTAGTTTACAGAACGTGATTTCAAGATACTGACAACCTAGAAGTTTGCATATTGAGGAGGAGGTTAATAAACCAGTGTTGCTGATTCGAACAATAAAAAATTTCAAACAGAAAAAATAAGAAACATCTGACATCGATGTTTTTTCGCTTTGCTATTCCAAGCGGAGCTTTTTCTGGAAAGGGAAAAATCAACTCTCAGAACACCCTATGTTATATTATAGTTAATTGTTGAAAAAGTTCTGCAATCATATAATGCAAGCAACCATGTGACTCTAAAAGCTAATAATACTAAATCCCTTATCGTCTCCAAAATTATTCCGAAATTTCCATTTTACTCCCTCAGCTATTTTCGACGCTGGACACGGCACCAGAGGCTATGCACACCTATTTATCCGTTAAATTTATAATTACTTCATTAGTAGTACATCATTTCGCCGCTTGGTGGCACCAGGATAACCATGTTGCTAACTTACATCTCCGCGTTTACCATTGTTGCCATACCATGTGTCGTCGCTATCCTTAGAATTTCGGACCATGCTCACAACTATATACGTGTCGACCACCGTTTCTAGGCTTATGCCACAGTTTTTAAACCGTGTGGGTTAGTGGGAACCGATTGGCACCTTGGTACTGCTCTTCTTCAGATTTTTAAATACATATAAATGAACGCAACTTCTTTCCATTTTTATACAATTTGTGAGGAATAAGGAAAAAAAATTTGAAAATTAATTATTTACTATTGCTTAAACCGCAATTAATGAATACTATACTCTCCCTGTACATACTTTCATTGCGTTTATTTTTATTTGGAACGTGTCTCACAAAACTGCAGAACAAAAATTACTCTGATTTTCCAAAATGTTGTTCATAATAAGCAATAGACCGTCAGCCCAGCGCAGTATGTAAGAAAAATTATATTTTTCCCCTTACAACATGTGGGTATGATTCCCCATATCGTGAGGACAAATCAAAACGCGATAAGCAAAGTGAAAGGTGGAGAATTTCCGCTGACCAAGCGTGCTTCAATATAGGCAGGCCTGTCTTCATCCTTCCCCAAAAAATGCTTCTAACAGATAAGCCACGAGACCATCTCTCTGGAGGATAGAAAAACTTTTTCGAGCGGGTTTTATGTCACCAGCTTTTAAGCTATTGGAGAATAATTAATAATGCCGGGAAATAATATAGTAACCTGTAACTATGTCTCTGGTGACCAGACACAACTCTAGGTATGGAAATAAACTTCTCAAAGTCTCTTATAATGGGTGATCTTTTTGCTAGTATCTTTTTGGCAACTCTGTTTTTGACAGATGACGCGTGAATCGTGTCTTGCGTCATTGTCAAACTTGTTCAGTTTGGTCTATAGTTTAACCATTAATCGACTTACGAAAGAACAACGCTTGCAAATTATTGAATTTTACTATCAAAATTCATGCTCGGTTAAGAGAGTGCATCGAGCACTGCTTCCAATTTATGGACAATTTGGTCGGCCTACTGAGAGAGCCATTCGGAAGCTTGTGACTAAATTTCGAACCCAGTTTACATTATTGGACATTAAACCACCAACACGCAGACGTAGAGTAAGGACTGAAGAAAATATTGCGGCTGTATCCGCCAGTGTTAGTGATGACCGTGAAATGTCGATTCGCCGCCGTTCGCAGCAATTGGGCTTCTGTTACTCCACTAGGTGGAAAATTTTGCGACAGGATTTGGATGTAAAACCTTATAAGATACAGCTGGTGCAAGAATTGAAGCCACACGACCTCCCACAACGTTTCCAATTTGGTGGATGGGCGCTGGCAAAGTTTGAGGAAGATCCACATTTTTATCGAAAAATTGAGTTCAGCGACGAAGCTCATTTCTGGTTGAATGGGTACGTTAACAAGCAAAATTGCCGCATCTGGAGTGAAGACCAGCTAGAAGCATTGCAAGAGCTACCAATGCATCCCAAAAAAATCACTGTTTGGTGTGGATTATGGGCCGGTGGCATCATCGGGCCGCACTTCTTCAAAGACGGCAATAGCCGGAACGTGAATGGCGAGCGCTACCGTGAGATGATAACAAACTTTCTTTTGCCCAAAATGGAAGAGCTGGACTTGGCTGACATCGATGTTTTTTCGCTTTGCTATTCCAAGCGGAGCTTTTTCTGGAAAGGGAAAAATCAACTCTCAGAACACCCTATGTTATATTATAGTTAATTGTTGAAAAAGTTCTGCAATCATATAATGCAAGCAACCATGTGACTCTAAAAGCTAATAATACTAAATCCCTTATCGTCTCCAAAAT